ATTAACAAGTTATTAACCCACACTTCAGAGAAAATAACTGGAAATTTCAAGCTATTAAGTCAAATGTTTTAGCTTGAAATTATGACTTAACTCTGCCTGGCTTTTGTTTTTTTCCCCCCTTGCATAAGGGAAGCCCTTTATCAATGTCTAGTGCAGGTTTATCTGTGGAAATATGAAAATCACCGCAAAGGGATAAGCTGTGAAGATTTTGGCCAAATATGATGGAAACTAACATGAAGACAAGAAAGTGAAACAGTGGAAATATTGAGAAACTACCTATAACCAGGTGAAGCTGGCAGAACGTGATAGAGTCATATTTCAGTTTGGCACATTGGAAAATATAGTGTGAAGTGACACAGGAGGTGAGAGTGTCATAACTGACTGGCAACACAGCTGTCAGGTCTGCCTCAGAAGAGATCTCCTGATCCACAGATGATTCCCTACTAAAACCCAACAATGATTACCAGGCAGGACAGCAGCTGTAATAAAACTGACCAGCTATCACTGACCCGCTGCAGAGCTGGTGATGCTGCAGGAAGCATCCCCAGGTTTACATTTGTGGTGCCAAAGACGAGCCAACTCTGACAGTGCTCAATCAATCAAGTCTTTATCTCAAACAAATAACAAGTGTTCATACATTAAACATGAAATCAAAGTCATCATTTTCACGTGGAAAAAATAAAAATGTTGATATTTGCTGTTTGAAAAGGAGGCGGCGAAAACAAATGCTTATGAATTCCTAACCCATATATTATCTTGGTTTTAATTATACAATCTAAAATATAATATATGCTATAAATAAATATGCCTAACACACAGATTCATGTTGTACTTAAATACATTTTATATATAAATTCTACAATTATTTAACCACCATATTTCATATTTCCAAAAGTATTGCTTTTTATAATATCATTATACACAATTCTTTTTTAATGCATCACCACATAAATATTCAATACGCTATCTCATCCCTATTATTGAAGTTTTCGTGGGAAGATTCAGAAAGTATTTCCATACAAATAAAACTTTCATCTTGTCAGTTGTCTAAACCCTATTTTCCACCCTTTCGAAGTCTATTTTTTAAATGTTTTCGTACCAGTTAACCAAGTTGTTTTTTTCCCCGTAACTAAAGTATAAAGAAGGGCTACTTTATTCAACGCCTAGTTTTGCGTTTCATATTTTAGTTCTATACATTTCATAAATATTCATAAGTGCTGTTTTCATTATCTTCATTAGTAAATGATGGGTACGAGTGTGTTGTCTCAGTTTTAATTAAAGTATAAAAGTACTTCACCAGATGGATCCCGGTGAAGAGTGACTAACTCAGCTCTGCCCTCCAGAGGCTCATTTGCAGATTTTAGAAAATGTTAGCTGGTAATGGTGCACACAGGCATAAAACATGTTAAAGAAGGACTAAAATGCTTTCACATATTATAGTGTAAGACAAGTCACTTACTATTATTCATCGTGCCAAGCATTAAGCATGTGCGATGGATTTAATCAATGTAGCAAAATCTCTGCATCCAGCAACTCGAGTAAGAGGTTTAGAACGAAGTCCTTTATTTTTTGTGGCTCAAAACAAGATCACTATAATAAAACACCTTTTCACTGGAGCTTAACGTTTAACAATTTATTCAACAACACAATGATATCTAAATGTTTTTAGTTTGCACAAAATATTTAATTTCTTGTACCAAGGTTTTTTTGTTTGTTTGTTTTTTAAACCAGGACTCTGTAGCTTTACAAGCTTCTTCAGCTAAAAGAGTTAGTCTCACATTTTATTTTTTACTCTTTGCATTACTTTATGCACAGCTGTCTTAAGGTCCCAACACAATATTTGATTCAGGTTGAGGTCTGGACTGCAACACCTTGATTTTCTTTTTTAGCCATTGTGTAGATTTGCTCCAGTTCTTGGGAACATTATCATATTAAATGAACCAATTTCAGTCATCTTTTAGCTGTTTATAGACGACGTGAAGCCATCCGAGTGCACGGCCTACTCAGTGACTGCAACGTGCACATGTCCTGTTGCTGCAAAACAAGCCAAAATCATGACCCCTCCACCACTGTGCTTGACAGCTGGTATGAGGTGGTGAGTTGACATGCTGCGTATGGTTCTCTCTGTTCTTCATGGACAAACATCTCTACTTTGGTCTCATCTGGCCAAAGGACATTGCTCCAGAGGCCGGGTGGTTTGTTCAAGCAATGTTGCGATGTTCTTTTTAGAGAGAAGCCTCTTGAAACATTTCCAAACAAGTTGGTCCTTTTCCAAGCGAGCTGTTATGAACTTTAACATGCAGTGGCCTGTAGTCTTCAAAAGAAAAAAATATAAAACAAACACTTCACACAGAAACCCCAACATGCTACAATTCAAAGCATTGCTGTCTAACCTCAAGGTAAATTTGCTAAGATGCCCACTCCTGGAAAGAATAGAGCATGTTAACACTCACCTGCATGCTCCAGAACAATAAAACTGCTGCTCTTATAGAAGCGCTCACGCGTATATGAAATAAAGAAAAGACTCCTTTTAAATGTACAAAATTTTATTCAGAAGTAACAAAGTGGATTTTTTATGTACTTACAGAAGTTTCCACAAAAAGAATCAAGGCCCACAAAAGAAAGGCTGAACTGTGATTTGAGGAGGGTGTGACTCACTTTAGATAAACTTTGATCCCATGCAGGAAGAAGTGTTAGAGCTGAAGCAGAACAGATAAATTACCTGCTACATGGACAATGATCAGCTACTTTGGTCGAAAATGAGGGGGAAGGGGGGGAGTAATTGTTCTACGAGCAGGAACCACATAGACAAAGAAAAAGGCATTTGGTGGGGAAGAAAAGTAAATTGGAGGCAGATTATGTTGTGCTGGGAAGTTGGATAAGGGGGTGGAGTATGAAGTAAGGGCAGATCGGTGAGGTCACCATCAATCAGAAGAATGTGAGAAGAAAAAGAAATATGCAAATGTGTTTATGTGTGAGGAGGGGAGCTGTCAGTTCAAAAGAGGGAGAGAGGCTGAGAGAAAATGACAGACGTGGCCCGAGGAAAGGAAAGGCGCGTTTGAGAAAGACAACCCCTGGGAGGCTGCACGGTGAACCCACTGCCCCGTCTCAGCCCTCCTCCTCCTCCCCGCCTGTGTGCTTTGCCATGGTTACCAGACAGGGCTCCCAATGCAGCCAGTTAATGCGTTTTTCAGCAGCAGGAGCGAGCTGCGTACTAATGTGTCTCAGTCTGTCTCCTGCACAATCAATGTCAACTGTCCTGGGATGCACAAACACATGGAGGGCTGCGAGCCAGGGAACACAGAGCCACCCTGGCTGAGCGTCAGAGGCTGAAAGAAGGCTGCATCGCTTTCATTTTTAGTCACCTGGAAAGTTTTACTTGCATTATCTGCAGAAGCCTTGAGTCACATGTCGATCTTTCTTACAAAGATATGAAATGTTGAAAAAGTATCCCACAAGATAAAGGAACACAGCTTATTAGTTTGAAATGCTTTCAAGTGCTCTTATATTTATTGGATTCACAAAGCATTTAAATACAATAACACATCACATCCATAAAAATACTGGATGTACCAACATCTAACTTAAAATTTGCCAGTTTTCTGTTAACCTAAAGAGCTAATTTAGTCTCAAAGTTTACTACCTATCGTTTTCAGGAATGTGTTAAAAGGGAACTCGCACATATTTTCAGCTGCCATGAGGAGCTTAAAACTCTCCCTAAAGGTTCCAATGTTGTAGTTTTCCATCTCTGGAGTTAAACAAGTCCTGTGCGAATCATATCGGGGTCACGACCATTGGCTGTCTTTATTAAAAGATGGCTGATACTCAGAGCACAAAGCCGGCCAAAAGGTTCTGCCCCCTGGAGAGAACCATGCTGTCTCTTCTCAGCTTTTCCAGGATGAGTGGGAAGGTTAAGAAACTCTCTGGAGATCATTCTGCACACTCTGTTTGGAGCTTTTACTTTTGCTGGTCTTTATTAAAGAACATTGTTTTTGGCATCCAGAAGTAAATGCATGCAGCTTTGTTCCCAAGGACCTCACCTGTGACCTTTCATATCATCACAGGTTAAGGGTCTCAGGGACAACGAAGCACACCGAGAGCTGCTCGCAGTCAGGTGTCCGTCAAGTCTACGTAATGGACTGCAGTGACGTGTGCCATCTTTTTGTGGTTAATTCATAAGCATGTCATGTTTACGCCACTATTATGCAATTATGTTAGATACATGCCATCTTACATTATGGGGAAAGAAAAAATACTTTAAAATGACAATTGATGCGTCACATGAGACGTTACCATTGTTGGTTACCGATTCCGATGCAGTCCTATCGTCTCGTCCGACAGAACTGGATCAAATCCTGTGAAGAGAGACGGATTTGATTAGGACACGATTCCGCATATAAACATCCGTTATCGGAATGTTACACATATACATTTTGTTTTCAGGGCCCCGTCTGGCTGCTTTTCCTCCTGATGTAGCCAGCGCCTGCTATCCAGTGCAGGTCTGTGCAGCAAGTCGTTGAAATAAAAACGCCCCCTGCTGGCAGACAGCATTAGTAGACAAGTACGCAAAGAAAAACCCGCAAATTTATCGTACAAGTCAGGCCTTATACGGACGAGTTAAACTCTAGGTCGTGCATTTCACACACGCAACGAATCTTTGTGCACATATATGTAACATCCACGGACAGCTGTGCCTGCAACCGCAGACACTGTCGTCTTACATTTCCTACAGGCCTTGTGATCTCACA